TCCATCTTGATTTATGATGCATTTAGCAAAGAACAAAAAAAAAAAAGAGGGGACTTCTTTTGTTTTTCCTTTTTAAATCATTGAAATTGTGCTGTGAATTTGACACTTTTATGCAGTGTTGGCTCACAAAGGGGAAAATGTTTAGCATGAAGAGAACCAAAAAGAAGGTAAGTCCTAATCATTTCATGTGGGCTCATTCTTTGGGGGAGAATAGCTCCAATGTTCCCAATTACTTTGGATTTTATCTGGAATGCTCTAATTTGTGTCCAGCATATTGCCATTACCCATGAAATGAAAACAGGTGAACAAATCATTAAGAATGGGTTCTAAACTGGTTGGGGTGGCATCTGCCTATTGTCCCAGCTTTGGAGGCTAAGGCAGGAAAATTGCTTGCGTCTAGGAGTTTGGGACCAGCCTGGGCAGCAAATAGTGAGAACCTGTTTAAAAAAAAAAAAAAAAAGTCTCAATATGTTGTTATTGGATTTGAAAGACAGGGAAGTTGCTTATATATTGTCGCCAACATATTAATTTTGTTCCTCTTATAGCATTTAAAGTTGGAGGCAGTTTTGTACAATTTCCCACAACCTCTCATTGGTTTAGTAGTGCATTGGTTTGGTAGTGCATGGTTTAGTAGTGCATTAGAGATCCAGGCAAAACCAGGTTCTTCCTACCATGTCTTTGGTGCTTTTGCTATATCTCTGTTCTCTGGCTACTACAGTGGTGGGTCTATACATATATAATATATATATTATATATGTATATAATATATACAGTATATATTCTATATAATAAGAGTTATTTCCATCACTCTTATTCAGGAAGGGTAGAACTAAATTGGTTCAGTACTTTGGAGCTCCCCCACCTTTTTTTTTTGTAAGGGGTTAAGTTTGGAGATTCATCTTCCTTGAAATATATTCATTCTCTTTTCTCTGGTGGATGTTTATTGCACCTGCATAGTTTACGTGAACACCCTCTTTGCCAACTTTGCCTTTCCTCATTTTCCTCAGATCTTTAAGTTTCACTTTCTTACCTTTTGTTGCCCTACCTACCCTGTGATCAGTCTTAAAATGTTGCTGCAGTTTTGTGTGTCCCCTTTGGGACCTGACCTGTCTGCCTGTCCAAATGATATATTCCATTGCAGGACCTTTTCTAGTCAATTTTATTAGATGTCTGTCAATGATGATCTCAAGTATTTATTTTTAGTTGATGAAATTGTCTGCTGTCACCATTTCTTTTTCAGCTTGACTCTGCTACAAGCAACTTGGCCTACAAGCTTCATAAGGGACAACTCTTTATAACTATCTTTTAAAATAGTTAGCAAGGTGTGGTGGTGCATGCCTGTACTCTTAAGTGATTCTCAAGGCTGAGACAATAGGATAACAAATTTAAGTCCAGCCTCTGATTCTTAGTAAAACCCGATCTTTTTTTCTTTTTTGGTACTGGAGATTTAACCTAGGGGTCCTTTACCACTGAGCCACATCCCCAGTGATTTTTTTTTTAAATAATTTTTAGACAGGGTCTTGCTAAGTTGCTGAGGCTGGCCTTGAACTTGTGATCCTCCTGCCTCAGTGTCCCAAGTCATAGGGATTACAGGTATGCACCACCTCATCTGGATCCTTTTCATTTTTTTTTTGATTTTAAGATAAGGTCTTATAAACCAGGCATAGTGGCAAACTCCTGTAATCCCAGCAACTTGGGAGGCTGAGCCAGGAGGATCCTAAATTTGAGCAATTTAGCAAGGCCCTAAGCAACTTAGTAAGACCCTGTTTCAAAATTAAAAATAAAAAGAACTAAGGATGTGGTTCTCAGTGATTAAGAGTTCTTGGATTCAATCTCCAGTACAAATTATTAAAAAAAAAAAAAGAAGGAAAGAAAGAAAGGGAGGAAGGGTAGGAGGGGCTGGGGATTGGGGATGTAGCTTAGTGGTAGAGTTCTCCTGGTTCAATTCCCAGTACTGCAAAAAAAAAAAAAATTGACATATTCTTTGTACATACTTATGGAGTACAGTGTGGCATTTCAATACTTGTATGTAATGTGTAATGATCTGATCAGGGTAATTGGAATATCTGCCACCTCAAACATTATTTCATTATACTGGTAACATTCAAGCTAGCTATTTTGAAATGTACAATCAATTTATTTCCGCCATAGTTACCCTACTGTGCTATTCCTTCTGTCTAACTGAATGCTTAACTATCTCCTCTCCATTCTCCTTCCTCCTATTCTCTTCCCGGCTTCTTGTAACCACTATTCTGCTTTGAACTTCTATGAGATCAACTTTTTTAGTTTTCACTTCAAGTAAAAGACATGCAGTATTTGTCTTTCTGTGCCTGACAATAAGTCACCTGACAGAATATTCTCTAGGTTCATCCATTTGTCACAAATAGTAGAAATTCATTTTATCATTGAATAATGTTTTGTTGTGTGTATGTACCATATTTTCTTTATCCATTCATTTGTTGATGGACACTTAGGCTGTAAATCTTTGCTGTTGTGAATAATGCTGCCATCAACAGTGGCATACAGATGTCTCTTCCATATTCTAATTTCCTTTGGAAATATGCACAATAGTAGAATGACTGGATAATCTAGTAGATCTATTTTTAGTTTTGATGATCCTCCTTCTTTAGTTTGGATCTTGAATGTTTCCCCGAAGGCCCACCTTAAAGGCTTAAAAGGCTTGATCTTTAGGGTAGTGCTGTTAGGAAATGGTGGACCCTTTAAAGGTGGGGCCTATTAAGAACTCTTTTCTGGGGAGTGTGCCCTTGAAGGGGATTGTGGAACAGTTAAGTCTGATTCATTCTACTGTCTTTTTTCTATTCCCATCCTTCCTTCTTTTCCTTTCACTTCTGAACTTCTATTCCTCCCTCCCCCCATTATTGTGTGTTAGCATCCGCATATCAGAACATTTAGCCTTCGGTTTGGGGGGATTGGTTTATTTTACTTAGCACAGTAGTCTCCAGTTCTATCTGGCAAAAGTTATAAAGTCATTTTTTTAAAAAATGTACCCACTGCCACTTTCAATATGTGCCCTGGTAATGGGTAGTAATGACCAATCTATCTATACGACTTATGATTTTCAGATGATATCTTTTATTATTTGTCCTTTAATGTGTGCTAGTCTTAATTTATTTGGTGCATTGCTTGGTGTCTTTCAATTCATTTCTACCTGGATATTCCTCATATATCTCACTAGGAAGCAGTTTCTCCATCCCCAAACTTGGTTTGACTTCTGCTTTTCTGTGTTAGAAGACAGGACTTTGTGAAGTCCCTTCTGCCTTTTACTGAAAACTCCCATCTCAGCCAGTCAAAACTAAGGGTTGTTGGGGCAAAGGCAGGAAGGAATTTGTAACTGAGATTTGTCATCCACTGTGTCAGTTCTGCATTGCCTGTTGGCGCTGTGCTGTGTGCTCTGTATACGAGAAAGATGATTTGATTCCCTTAGGCCTGTGTCAGACCATGTGTTTTCCTTAGACTATTAGGCTTAACTCCACATTCTAATTAATTACTTAATAATAAATACTTATGAAACTCCTTCAACACTCAGCTAAAATATTATAAACAATGGCTCTCCACTGTCTTGTTCTCCTGCATTCCCCTCAGAGTAATTGGCATGTGGTTTTCATTATCTATTTAAAAAATTTAATAAATAAAAGAATAAAAAACCAGTTTTATCGTACATGCTTATATCGATGCATAAGCAATGTAATGTTCCATTGAGCTTGAGTTTAAATCTAAAGAATTCACATTATATATGTTATCTTCTGGGAATCGTTTTTTCGAGTTAACATTATGTTTCTAAGATTCAGTATCTTGTGACGTACATTATGGTTTTTCATTGATGAATAATCGAGTAATATCCTTGTTTTCTGCTATACAAGCAGTGCTGCCATGAGTATTGGTATAGATGTCTCTGGGGACACATGTAAGAATTTCCCTTGCAGTCTGGGTGTGTTGTTCAGTGGCAGAGTATTGCTTATTATGTCAGGGCCCTTGGTTTGATCCTCACCAGTAGAATAAACTAAAACAAAACAAACAACCAAAACCCCAGAACACTTGGAATTTTGGGGTTGAGGTTGAGTGGATGTTTAACTTTAAAAGATAATGCCAATTTTTTTTCCAAAGTGTTTATACCATTTTATGCCCCTATCCTTGTAGTAGATAAAAATCCTATTTATCCAGGTCCCCGGGATCAGAATTTTTTTCTGTGCATATTTTTAATTGACACATAAGATTATACATATTTCTAGATTACAATATTACATTTCAGTACATGTTTATAATGCATAATGATCAAATTCTATTAGAATTTCCTAATTGTTACCAGTTGAATAGTGTAAATTGCTATCTCATTATGGTCCTGATTTGAGTTTGCATGTCTATTAGTTAAGCAGTTATTTTTTTATAAAATTAAAATTCTGGAACACTTTTATAATTCTTCCATGTCAAGTTTGGATTTGTTTATGCAAAGCTGCTTATAGTCCTTTGCACACACTCACATCCTCTTTCCCCAAACTCTTGATTTTTTTTTTCCAAACTCTGATCTTTTGTGTACAACTTGCTGTGCTTCAAGATATCCCTTGTTTGAAACTGTTCCCTCTCATCTTTAATAAACTCAGTTCCAGACTCACTTCTTTCATGAACTTGCCCTTGAAAATGTCAATAAATTTACATTCTATGTCATTTAGCCTCTGAGACCTGACCAGCCACTCACTCTCCATGGGCAATGACTATAAGCTAGTACATGCTGCCACATGTATTATGAATCTTAAAGTCAGATATTAAAGAGATTAAAAAAAAAAGAATTTAGGCCTTCGGGTTTTTTTTTTTTTTTTTTTTTTGGTATTGAACTCAGGGCCTCTTAACCACTGAGTCAGATCCCCAGCCCTTTTAATTTTTTTATCTTGAGATAGGGTCTTGCTAAATTACTGAGGCTGGCCTTGAACTTTCTTCAGTCCTCCTGCTTCAGCATTCTGAGTTGCTGGGATTAACAGGTGTGTACCACCATGCCTGGTAGAACCTTGTACATTTTAACCTGGTATTTATTTCTAAGAATCCCTCCCAAAGGTAGCAAAAAAGTTCTAGATAAATAAAAAACGATTTAGTGCCTAATGGCCAGGTGGGCTATAGGGCTGCAGATTTATTTACATAGGGAAAGGAGAATCATTGGGGAAATCTTGTATATATGCCCTTGGGTGGAGAGCCAGGGGCCTAGAGAATACAATATGGTTGTACTCTCCAGCTTAGACCTGTGGTTAGGACTAAGAATACTGGAGGAGAGAGAAGCTGAATACACATGTTAAAGCCCTTTCAGAAGGAATATGATTAAATCAAAAGGCACTAGACAGTGAGAAGAGCTGGGTGTGTTTCCCACTTTCACATCAAGCCCCCATGTGGAGATGTGAGGGTATGTTGACTGCTGTGTGGCAGTGATGTGGCTGCTACCTAGTGGAGATCTGAGGGAAGTGCGTAGTGTCTTGGTATCCATGGTTATGAATTTGTTGTAAAACACATGAGAGATCCCTCCTGGAATTGCATGCTGGGGAGAATTTACAGGTGTCAGGTCTGTGTTGTCAAGAGGAAGTCAAGAAGTAGAATAATTTAAGTACTGTAGTTTTTATGTCCTCATCCATAGCTATGATTTTGTCGTGTACCTGGACCTTTGGTTTGCATGGAGAAGTGCTCAGTTGTATTCTGTCAAGAACCAATGCTCCTCTGGGCCTGGGGAATGTGTGTCTGTGAACCACCACATCCACAGGTGGAGAGACAGCTATTCCTCACATTAGGATACAATTAATTAATTATTTGAATAGCTCTGTGCATAAAGTGCACAGGAACATAGACAACATCCAGGACTTCCTAAGGACCCAGCACAAGCTTCCCAGAAGACAGGACATTTTGTTGGAACTTGGATGTCTGTAGGAGTATCCCAGTAAGTTAGAGATGTGGATAGCAAGGAATTTGCTGTGAGAAGCCTTTAAGCTGTGGAAGTGACACTTGGGGATGGGAGTGAGGAGCAAAGAGACACTGGGCTTCTCATCTGGTCCCCTTGGTGAATGTTAGTTACATCATCTATCAAAAAGAGAATCTGGAGTGGGGAGAAGAGTTCAAGGTTAGGGTATGACAGTCTACTCTGGAGAAGAACAAATGGAAATGAGGGTCAGGTGTATCTAGCTTAGTTGTTATTTACAGCCCTTGAGCTTTATTAGTCAATATCCCTAATCAGTGATCTCTTCTTAAGACTTGGCTCTTTGAAATCAGAACTTATTGAATTAATAGGCCTTCCTCCTGTCTTATCCTTATTAGATTGTGTGTTTTCACAGAGGCTCTGCTGCACCTGGCCCATGTGAGCTCTTCCTGGAAGTTAAGTGGTGGAGTCCTGAACACCTGCCAGGCAGCCTTGGCCTGGGGATTTTGGAGTCATCATTAATGGACAATGTGTTCGGGTTCCTGAGAGAAACTTGCCAGTTAATCCTGGCTGAGTCTCAGCAGTACCCGGGAGAATCCACCTGGAAGAAGGAAGAGAACAACAGCATGAAGAGGGAGAGAGAACATTTCAATTCCTGGGACAACCCTCATGGTCATTAGAACCTCCTATTTTTCTCTTTTTTGACTTCATAGAAATGCTTCATTTACTTACTACACTCTGTTGCACTAGAGCTTTTTGGTTAATGGGTCCACATCACTTGTGTCTCAGTTTCTCTGTCTTTGGAATGGAGATAATAATAGTACTGAGCACAGAGGGTGGTTCCAGGGATTAAATGAGATAATCTGGGGGAAACGGCTTTAAACCAATGCTTGCCATGGAGCATGCAGCATTAGTTTCTGTCTTCTCTGTTACCCTTTACAAGTCTGTGTAGAATCAAAATGCTGTTACTGATTTGGGAGCAGAAATCTGCGATTACATGTTTTGATATTTTTACTGCCCTGTCTCTTATACACCAGTGCTCATTCCCCAGGAATTCTGAGATTTAGTGGTACTGCTTCCCTTTTGCTCACCTGTGGGGTCTGGTGAGTCTGTGGTGGGAAAAGAAAGGTGGGTTGCTAGTGGAACAGAGAATTGTTTTATCTTTGGGTTTTCTCATAGTTTGAAAGTTTTTTCTGGATTTTAGTCTCTTGGGGTAAATTTAGGGTAGGTGGATCTTCCCCAAAGTTCGACAGCCATTCTGACACAGCTGTAGAGACCAGTTTGGGAGGAACCCATGGCACCCCAGTTATGCTTTCAGAAATTTTTTTCCCTTTGCTCTTCCAGCAATTTTTTTGTGCAGAACTGCTTGTATCATTCATTTGTCAATGCATGATACACTTTTTGGGTGACATCTCCTTTCTGGTGGACTATTGAAACTTGTCTTGTTATTTAATTTCTCAAAGGTTCATGCATATCTCCTCTCAAATTTGTTTACAAGTTCCCTAGTGAATTCTTTGTACATCTGAGATATTTCACAGGGTTTAATGTCCTCAATAGATGCTAGAAAAACATTTGATTTTTTGTAAATCCTTTAACTATACTTTACTCTCAGTATTTTTTTTTCTTTTCCTTTTATAGGCCTGGTTGGTTTACACAACATCGGACAGACCTGTTGTCTTAACTCCCTAATTCAGGTATTCATAATGAATTCAGACTTCACCAAGATATTGAAAAGGTAAGACTATTACTCAGGTTAATTGATATGTATATTATTTCATGTTTTTTATTCAGTTACAGTGACTTGGACTTTAGAAGTCTTCTTTCAAAAGTGGACAAAGAAAATATATTTTTTTTCTGCTTTTCTGCATTAGAATTGCTTAAGAAGTTTTAAAAATACATAAATACCATATCCCACCTCCATTTAGTTGATTTCAATTGGTCTGGGTTGGGGCCCAGACATTGATACTTTTTAAATGACTTCTTCTGTAGGTGATTTTTAAATGTGGCCAGGATTGGCAGTCATTGAATTAGACCCATGTCAGAGAAACTGTCAGTGGAGCCAAGTGTGTGCATAGTTAGCATACTCATTCTTTTTGCCCCGTGCACTCTTCTTTTTTTTCTTCATTGACAGGAAAATTGAGAGATGCCTATAATTTAAGGAATCATTGCCTAAATACATGCCATCCCTTCATGTTGCACTTTCTACCCAGGACTTAACTTAGCATTTGCCTTTTCTGTTTGAAGTGCTTCAGACTGGACATTTCACTGCATGCCTCTTATGTGAACCCAGAATCTGGTGCATGTGCCCTTTATTCTAGCATGATTATTGGTCAGGGTGGAGTTGCTGAGGCAGCAGTTGTGTTGGTCCCCTTCTCAAGGGTATTCTGTTTAGCCAATTCACTAACATGGTGGTTCTTTACCTTGGTTACCCATTTAGATCATCTAGGTCCCACCCCCAGAATTCTGATTTAGTTTATATGGGGAGTGGACTGGACATGGAGATTTTTTAAAAGTTTCCTAAGTGATTCTAGTAGGTACCTCACATGGACGACTGTGGGTGAAAGGAGGTTCCTGGCTGTTCTTATTCGACAGGATAAAAGTGCCAAGGGAAGCAGGAGAACAGAGAAGAAGTGTTCCCTTCCAGCTTCTTTTGCTGCTGGAGAAGATGCAAGACAGTAGGCAGAAAGCAGTGCGACCCATGGAGTTTGCCTACTGCCTCCAGAAGTACAATGTGCCACGTAAGACAGTCCTTTCAGTTCTGGCTGCTGCCTACTGATCTAAAGAGGCTGGGAGCCTGGGAGGCTCCCAGAGAGTGAGGAAAAGGGCAGTGAATGAATCAGGGCTCCGTACTTGGTGCACATCTGTGGTTGTGGCAGTTTGTGAACCTGAGATAGGAGGATCCCAAGTTCCAGCTGGCCTGGCAACTTAGTGAAACCCTGTTTCAAAATAAAAAATTGGGGATATAGCTCAGTGGTACAACATCCCTGGGGTTCAATCCCTAGAAACACACACACACACACACACACACACACATACACACACACACACACATACACACCACACAATCATCAAGAAGGAAGTGAGGTGACCCTAGGCCCCTTATTTTTTAAATTTATTTTCTAGTTATAGGTAGACACAATATCTTTATTTTATTTTTATGTGATGCTGAGGATTGAACCCAGTGCTTCACGCATGCTAGGTGAGCATTCTACCTCTGAGCCCCAACCCCAGCCCCAACCCCTTATTTTTAAGGTATTGGTGTATATCTGAAAAAATTTTTAAAACTTTTGTTTATTTTAATATATATATATATTTTTGTGATTATTACCAGTTTACTATTTTTTTTCCAATGGTTTTCTTTTTACATTGGCATAACCATACGTTTATGGGATATATTGTGGTAATCTGATACATTTTTTATGTAACAGTCAAATCAAGGTCATTAGCATTTCCCTTTTCTTAAGCACTTTCCATTTCTTTGTGTTTTGAAGCTTTGAACTCCTCTCTCCTAATTGCTTATAAAGTACATAATAAATAGTTGTCAGTAGTCACTTGCGGGGGTGGGGGGTGACGAATAACTTGTGTACGTTGATGCAGCAGGAATGGAAGCCGTTTATTGTAGGACAACAGAGCTATTTATACATTTTACACAGCTTATCTTAATTAGCATAAACTAGATACATCAGTCAACCATTAAGGAATCTCCACACTTAATAGCTCACTTTTGTTATTTCTCAAACCACTCCCTCTGACATTTTGCCAGGCACCATCCAGACTTGTTTACAAACTCTAACATTTCCCCGGCAAAATACCAGGTGTTATTTTGACTTGTCTACAGACCTTAACAGTCACTCTACTGTGCTCTAGAACATTAGAACTTACTGATACTATCTAACTCTAATATGGTACCTGCTATTCAACATCTTCCCATCCACCCTTCTCTCTACCCTTCCTAATTTCTAATGGCTACCCTGTGACTTTCTCCTTCTTTGAAATCAACTGTTTGGTTTCCACATATAAATGAGAATGTGTGGAATGTGTCTTTATGTGTTTGATTTATTTCACTTAACATAATGTCCTCCAATTCCATCCATATTTTTGCAAATGACAGGATTTCATTCTTTTTAATGGCTGATTGATATTCCACTGTGGATAGATACCCACATTTTTTCACTCATTCATTGGTGAACATTTAGTTTGTTATTATTTCTTGGATATTGTGAAGAGTGCTGCAATAAATGTGAGAGTCAGATGTCTCTTTACCCAACTGTGTGTATTTATGCCAGTACCATGCTCTTTTGGTTATTGCTTTATAGTATGTTTTGAAGTCAGGTGTTGTAATGTTTCCCTTTTTGTTCTTTTGGCTCAGGTTTGCTTCAGCTCTTCAAGGTCTTTTGTGTTCCCCTATAGATTTTTTTTTCTACTTCTGTGAAGAATATCATTGGTATTTTGATATGAATTTCATGGAATCTGTAGATACTTTGTGTCCTCTTCAATTTCTTTCATCAGTGGTTCATAATATTCATTATAGTGTTAAGTCCGTTTGTGCTATACTATAATTTAACTCTGTTGTTTCTTTGTTGGTTTTGTGTCTGGATGATTTGTTCACTGATGAAAGTGGAGTATTGAAGTTCGTAAGTATTATTTTTATTAGAGTACATCTCTCCTTTCAGTCTAAGAATGTTTGTTTTATACAACTGTGTGCTACTGTGCTGGGTAAATATATATTTATAGTTGTTATAGCTTCTTGTTATCTCTTTATCATTCTGTAGTTATTTTCTTGTCTTTTTTATAATGTTTTCCTTATAGTCTATTTTTTTTTTAAAGAGAGAGTGAGAGAGGAGAGAGAGAGAGAGAGAGAGAGAGAGAGAGAGAGAGAGAGA